TACCTCCTTGCAAGCAAACAGCAAGAAAAAACATCTTTCAGCTTCAGCATAGACTAATTAGCCCGTTGAATCAATATCTTTTCTTTCCTTCTTCTCTCTTTTCTTTCCTTCTTACTTTCTCTTCCTGCCCTCTTCTTCTCCTCCCTATTTCCTCTTCCTTTCTCCTTCTCCTCCTCTCTTCCTCCCTCTCTTACCCTCACTCCTACTCTAATTTCCTTTCCTTCCCTTCCTCCCTTCTCTTCCTTCCCTCTCTCTCCCCTTCCTTCTTCCATCTCTCTTCTCCTTCCTTCCTTTATCCCTCTCTATTGCTGTATCCTTTGTGCATATGGATTACTCAGAGGGCTGAAAAAGCCCTCGCACTTTTGACCAGTCTTCGAACTTATGACCGTCCTCAAATTTTACGTTTTTCGCCCTATCTTGTCACCATGGTGAAGAGAAGCAGTTGTGAAATGAGTGACACGATTGTTAAGAATGCTACAATGGGCATAAATTATGACCAGTCATAAGTGCAAGGATCGGTCAAAAGTGCGAAGCCCTGTCAGAAATCACTTTTTTCAGCCCTCTGGGTAGTCCTTTTGTGCATATGGACTACTCAGAGGGCTGAAAAAATTATTTTTGACTGGTCCTCGCACTTTTGACCAGTCCTCGAACTTTCGACTGTCCTCACATTTTACGTTTTTTGCCCTATCTTGTCACCATGGTGAAGAGAAGCAGTTGTGAAATGAGTGAAGTGGTTGTTAAGAATGCTGCACGGGCATAAATGTGAGGATGGTCATAAGTGTGAGGACCAGTCAAAAGTGTGAGGACCCGTCAGAAATGACTTTTTTCAGCCCTCTGAGTAGTCCCTATACACATAGCCATGGCCACTCGGTCACATGACCATCTAGCCACGCCCACCCAGTCACATGACCACTAGCCACGCCCACAGAACCGGTAGTAAAAAAATTTAGAACCCACCCCTGGTCCTGGTCCCTGGAGTTACAGACATTTATAATGGGAGAGAATTCCCAGAAATGACAAGTTAGGAAAGGTGAGCAGGATTCAACATTGTATTTACAATTTTGAAAAAATAATTCTTTTTTCTATTTATTGTAAATACGGATTTTCTTAAATTTAGGGTTATCACTCTTTTGTATCAATATACTAGTTCTATATAATATATGGATATAAGGTAAATAGGGTGCAGTCTTTCATATTCATAGACAAAGATTCTATTAACAATTGCATATTGCTGTTAACAATTCTATTAATGACAGTTTAAAATCTCTAGCCTGATCTTGTTTTAAGATGTCTAAAAATATGAACAATGATAGACCACTTATTATTTCTAAAGTGTGTTTGGGTTTTTATTGGCATCCTCAAACTATTGGAATTTAACTTCAAAGCTTATGGCAAGCAAGTGAAGCTGCCATGAAATGTGATATCTTAATTAAAAAAATCAATAAACAATATTATGGAAAATTAAACATCAACAGATTTATTGTGGAATGAGCTTTCATGCCATGACAAATAACATAGCTTTTAAGATGCCACCATACTTTTTATTTTTGCTTCCAAAAGAACTACAGATGTCCTGTTGGAAGCTTATGGTGGTTCTAACAAGTTCAATGCAGAACCTATTTTTAAAACTTATTTCTTTTAAACATTTATTACAGTACAATCTTTAAAAACAAATCACCACATACCTAGTACTTTTCCTACCCCATATGTATGTATACATGCATGTACATATATACCGATTTTCTGAAGAACAAGTTTGGATCTGTTATTTAAATACAAAATGAAAAATATGGAAGACAAAAGGCATCACTTGTATTTATATATAAAAGCTAACAGTTTATAATATTTGTTATATCTTAGAATTTGTACCATTTGTTCATCAATAAATACATCTCAGTAAATAAAAGTTTATCGCTACATGTCATCTATTTGCATATCACTAAAATTAAGCTGCCTCCAATATTTCTGGGCGTTGAGCACATTTTTCTTTATGAAGAGATTTACTTAATTAATTTAAGAGGTAAATAAAAAATACCAAAAGTCTAAAAAAATTACTAATAAACTAAATGTCCAACTGTGGAGAAATGCCTTAGGTTTATATAAATGTGGAAAAGCCAATAAAAACCACATATGGAGCTGGTTAAGATCAGTAGTGTTAAAGAAAGGAACTGAGATTTTATTTTACCTTTGCCAACTATTTTGATGAATGCAAAATTTTTTCATGTAACAAAACAATAAGCTAATTTATAATTGATAAATTATAATAATGTATCAATTTACTATAATTATAGTTTACTATAATTTATAGTAATTGATAAACTTATTTATCAATTTTCTACACCGCCCATCTCGCCTAAGTGACTCTGGGCAGTTTACAAATGTCACCTTGGGAGCGAGAAGCTTGAAACAACTGACCATTTGATCAGTGGCTACAGCAAAATTTCACAAACTGACTGTAATCAATGTTACGACCAAGGTGCCAAAATTATTTATTGGAAATCTGCCAGAGTTTTGGATTTAAATGTAGGAAGAACCACTGGGACCATTAAGATGAGGGGTTTTGGAAAATGAGTGGGTTAAGATCTTATGGGATTTTAAAACTTAAATAGATAGGCATTTTGTTCACAGTCATTGAAAAGAAGAAACTCTGATTCATTGATGTTGCTAGGTACATTGATATAGTACACTGAAGAAAAGCAACCTCCGAAAAAAAAATTAAATTCTGGGGCTTGCAAATTGAAGTTAAACACTTATGGGGGGAAAAATAATGATTGGAGCTATTCCTAAAGAACAACTATACACGAGGACAGTTTTTTCCATCATGCCAATGCTCTGCTAAACAACTAATTTCCACGACACTGTCAAACTATTTAGTAAGGCTGTATTACTATGATTCTCATCTTTCCTATTACCTATCTCCTTTTCTATTTATGACTATAACTTTGTTGCTTGTATCTTTATGATTTATATTGTTCTATTTAGTTTCCTAGTATGAATTATGTTATTTAGTATCCTATGACTATCACTGAGTGTTGTATCATAATTTATGATGAATGTATTTTATGACTATGATCATGATTTCTAACTTATAACGTTTATGTACACTGAGAGCTTGTGCATCGAAGACAAATTCCTTGTGTGTCCAATCACACTTGCCCAGTATGCTATGCTATGCTATGCTATGCTATGCTATGCTATGCTATGCTATGCTATGCCATCCCATTCCCATTCCCATTCCCATTCTCATTCCATTATTCTATTCTATAGGATTCCATTGATATTTAACAGACCGGAACACTTTAATTTTACAATAAGTAAGTAAGTAAGTAAGTAAGTAAGTAAGTAAGTAAGTAAGTAAGTAAATAAATAAATAAATAAATAAATAGTGAGTTTTCATAGAATGTTTGATTGTGAATCTAACTGTATATTACCCATTTAATAATGATGATAACTCTTAACACCATCAAACAATAACATTTGCCGACACCAGGTCCTTGGAAGGATTCAATTGGTGGATAAAAATGCCAAATCCAGTCTAAACATCTTGCTGGTTTTGTGGGACCAATCATAATAATAATACCATAAAGCAGGTGTCCCCAAACCCCCGGGCCACAGCTCATTACCTGGCCTGTTTCAAACCAAGCTGCACAAGCAATGGGCAAGCGCATGCAACATTCCACTTGCTTGAGCGGAGAGAGAATGAGTGGAGACATTTGAACGAAGAGCATCACGAATGGAACTTCACAGAAGAGCAGAAACGCCCTCTGTTTGAGCATTCTCCGCTCACACAAGTGGAGCTTCGCATGCAAGTGCAGCTTCGAGCGCAAGTGCCCTCCACTCACAAATCAAGCTCCATTCGTGAATGGAGAGTGCATGTGCCTGCCGCTCGTACCAATGGAGCTATGGGCATGCACCTGCCACTCACACGCCTCCTCCACACAGGGCCGCCAAGATGAAAGATTGGAGACCACAGCCATAGCCCACTTTTTAAGAGGGAAATGTATATATAAATCTATTTATCTTTATTTTTTATATCTGGTTTTGCTGTATCAATGTCAAATAAACTAGAACAAAGGTGCATTGGAATTATATGCAAGAAACAGCAAGAACTGGTGGGCACACAAATAAAGTAATAGAAAATGAAGAAGCTAACATGCTCTGGAACTTTTCAAACAGACAAATATCTTCTGTCACACAATATCTAAGACTTAACAACTGTCAATAAAAAAATTCAACACTTCAATACCTTAGACAGCAGAATAGAAAAAAAAGACGTGAAAAAAAATCACAAAAGCTTGCAAATAGAAGTAGCAAAAGAAAGATAGCACTAATAGTAATAAGTCCCTTTTGTGCAATCTCAAAACAACCGGAGCACCATTCGAATATCATCGGCAGTGACTAAATCACCATCAGTCAATTGCAAAAGGCAACTTTACTTGGAACAGTTAACATCCTGCAACAAGTGCGACAATATCTTTAATATTATTAAATAAATTCAGTTTGTCCCAGATCCTTGGGAAAGACTCAACAGGACAAAAATGACAAATCCAATCTAAACATCTGGCTGACTGTTCAACAAACCGTAACAGTTTGGTGTACTGCTGATGTTCTTATGAGGAAAATGAGTCAATCAGTTTGTACACCTGTCCCTCATCTTATATCTGTACATATTGTATCACCGTTAAAGTATTTTTAATGGAAAAACTGCAAATGTAATCTTTGCATTCTGAAAAACTGTTGCATCTTATTTGCACAATGAATTCTACTTTTTCTCATTTGATAACTTACTGTATATGTAATTATATAATGCTATCAATATTACTGCTAGAGTTGTCTCTTCAAACTCACTAAAAAGCTTTGCTTTGGGTTCTTATCTTATTCCATTTATCATACCACTTATAATTATATATAATTACAAAAACAACAGAAATGAAAGCTACTGCAGAATATATATTGCAATTCCACTTTTGCCAAGATAGAAAATATAATGAACAGCTTACTATCATCCAGCTCTAGACACAGATTATATACAGCAACAGGCCTCTTATTACGTTGCCCCTGTCGTCTTGATTGTCGTGGTGGGGCATTTGGAGGAGAGATTGGCACAGGGGTAGGCTCAGAGAAATAAGCATCAGGCAGCGTGTGGAAAATCTGGAAAGAGCAATGTAAAACACACTGAGTTACTGTGAAAGACAACTTGTATAAATCCTGTAAGCCATTTTCAAGGAATAATTTACCTTTGATTTATATTCAATTTTTCACATTTTGAAAATGATTATTTTAAATAAATCAAAATTAAAATAAGCATAGATATTCACTGCAAAACACTTAAATTTATTCATTCATTCTATTCTTAAGAAGTAGTTACTAATGTAACTAATGCACAATTTTATCAAGTGAAATTTAAAACCAAGAAGAGGGCTTTTTCACAAGGCACTTGGAAGAGTGTCCTTTACAGTTCTAAAATTCTACACTACCATAACACTTAGTTTCCCAGGCTTTTAAGTTTAGATATATTTTTCTCAATGTAATTTTTTTTTTTGCTGGAAACTTTAAACTAGATTTTATAAGAATGAAATTGAATCACAGAGATTCAGTATCTTTCCTTAAAATCTTTTGAGGACAAGTGAATCTCATCCTTTTTACATTGATAGAGGGCTATCTCTACAAAACACTTTTGTGTTTAGATGGGAACCAAGTCTGGCATTCAATGTTCTTCCCTTCTTCCTCACATTTCCCCAAATTGTTACTATGATAAAGCAAAAAAAAAAAAAAAAAAAAAAAAACCAAAAGGATGATTTTTTTTTCAAAAGTGATGGCTTCCCAAAATATGTGTAGTGGGTGCATGCAGACATTCATTTCTCATTGCTCCAGAACATAAATCTTCGTAAGATAAATAAATGATCAATCATTTTCATTTATGTTGCCCACAGATGATGTTTATTGCCTAAAATCTTAAAAGGATTTTTAAGCTGTGGTATCAATAACTGGGGGTGGACAAGATTAAAACAAGATGTGGATTTCCCCTTTATGCAAAAATGATTTTTTGAAGGCTATGGATAGGGGTTTTTAAAGACTAAAACTCAGGTTCCTTATTTCATCTTATCTGGTTAGAATTAGGCTGCATTTCTTTTGGGCTCATGTGAAGTTCTGTCACATCAGATATTGGTGAGAATAAATTTTTTTGGGGGAATATCCTTGGATCATTTCTTAATTTCAATCTTTCCGAGCCAAAAAAAAAAAAAAAAATCAAACTCAGTTTAGTTTACTGAGCTTTTATTTTCCAAAATTAAATTTTTAGGTATAAATCTCACCCTGATAAAGTCAGTGAGCCTTCAATGGAGGATATAGACCAAGATCCCCATATAACCAGAATTTTCCACCTCCATTACAGCTCAATAACCCTCTCCTGCTCAATTGCCAGATATTTCCCACACTTTACATAGGAGACACTTTATCTTCTCCAAAATCATCAAATTAAAAGAGCAACAACTGGTAGATGCATCAGTATTCCCTATTGAATTCAGACTTGGGCATGTTATGATACAGAAATTGAATCTATTCCACATTCATAACTAGAGTGCCCTCTATGCAATGAATGGAGGACAAATTAATAACAGTTGTTAGAAATCTAGATTACTCCTCTGAGCAGATTATCCATTTTATCCTAGGAAATCAACTTTGGCTATTACGTATGTTCCTTACTTAATAATCATTCAGAGATCATTCAGGCTTACAATGCTGCTAAATGAGTGGCAGCTACAACTAGTCCTCATACTTAAGTTGGTTGCAGCATCCAGTTACATAACCACCATTTGTATGGGGAAGCTGGGAGAAGGTAATGATCATGTGATGTTTTCACTTAATGACACAATTCATTTAGTATTGGAATTTGTGTTGTCAAACAGTGTAGTCATGTGACACATTGTTTTACAACTATGTTGGTCAGTGATGGAACTTCTGGTTCCAATTGCAACATGGTAGCTAATTTTTTAACAATAGCCATGTCTTATAGATTTTATCTAATATTTCCATCACACTATTAATTACTTCAAGCTTTTATGTTTAAGCTTTATTATTTTATATCACTTTATATTTATTGTGTTGTAATATCATTTTTTATATATTGGTTATGGATTGTAAATAAATAACAATTGCCTTCTTTGCTGAGAATATGATGTTTTTAATCAACATGAATCAGGTAAGTTTTCTGTATTCTTTTATTATTAATTGTTCTCTGACAGGTTGCATTAGATTTACTTATTTATTTTGTATACTCTGTATTCCCAATAGTTAGCATTAAACTAACTATTAAACATTAAACCAGACAGAGTTTTAAAAGATTGTAATTGTATTCTGCTTACCCCTATGATGACACTTCATTATCATAGCCTTAAAAAAATAGTTTTAACCAGTTTCAAAAAATTATCAGACTAGTGCTAGTCAAACATTGGTAGGGGCTATTCTATTAAACAGAAACCACTGAAATACACTGTTTATCCACCATGGTCTGCCTGATCTCCCTCAAATGGAGAATGAATAACTTCTCTCAAATAAAATGTACTGGATGGGGTCAATTTCACTTAGAGATAGTGATTCTGAAAATACTTGGGAATCAAGCCATATAAGGCTTCTTAAATAAAAGCTGGCTTTGAATTGCACCATAAATGTACCAAAGCTACTACAGGGTCTATAGCACATATGTTATATCACTATGAAAGTTTTCATTTGCCAGTAAGTGGGCTGCTAACGTGTACAACAACTGCAGTTTTAGAATGGCTTTCAAAGGTAGTCTCATGTAAAGTGCATTGTACTATTCTAATTTTATGGTGGTCATATGGAATTACCATCAAAAATGAATCAAAATGTGGAAACTAATAATAAATATCCCAAAGGTGCTTTTTCAAGAAGCAACTGACTTTGTTTTTCTTTGAAGACGTTTTGCTTCTTAGGCATTCATAGTCATAAAGCTACCTTAATTCTTCTTAGAAAAAGGACAAAAGAGAAGCAAAACATCTTCAAAGGAAACAAGAAAGTCCAGTTACCTTTTTAAAAAGCTCCTTTGGGACAACCATGACCTGGATGACTGAGAATCTCCATAAATAATAAATATGCATAGTATTGAAAACTGCATTACATTGTTGTAAGAATAGGAAATAGTATGGCGAACAATTTTTATACTTAAGTATAATAACTTTTTTAAAGTTGTAAAAAATTAATATATAATAGATAGATAGATAGATAGATAGATAGATAGATAGATAGATAGATAGATAGAATTGTAAAGCAGTGACATTACTCTGCAAGTCCAAAATAACTGTTCTAATAATAGTTCAGAGGAGCTACTGTGTTGTTAAGTGGAAGAAAAGTACAAGAGTAGCTACTCTAAAGGTCCATGTCATGGTTCCCAAGAGCATCATAGCAATATCATACAATATCTGGCTTTAAAACATTGAAGATAAAAATAAACACATCTGGTTTGCTCTGAAACAATCGGAGCAGCCATTGCTGAAGCAATTTGTAACACTATAGGTTTTTTATACAGCAAATACCTCCCGATAGAAGTGCTAAGATGTATGGGAACTAAACTTTAAGGAACAGGAAACTCACCCTAATAAATCCCAAAGCATCTTTTTTCTTCTTATAGTCTCATAGATAGAATTCTTATCTGTCCATTAGGATCAAGAAGTTATCAAAAGCACAAAAAGAATTTGAAATATTCAATAACTGTATAGAACATTTGACAAGTCTTGATTCGAATATTTTCAAGAGTAGTCCTATTCTTACATTTTAACATTGAGACCACTGCATGCTACCTAAGGCCCAAACAACATTAACAGAAAAATTATTCCCTACTATTGCTTTTTTTTCAACATGGAAAATCTACTTTTCCTGGAAGTGTAAAGTATACTGTTGGGCAATATCAGCACACAATTGTTAACCACAGCTTTTTCAAGAATTTTAAATGACTAAAACAGATAAAAATGGGGGAAATATATGTTTATTTTAATTGCATCCTTTATTAAATCAACAGAAAAGGCAAAATACAGTACAACAAAATGAATCCTAATTTCCTAGAACTGAACAACTTTTTGGTTGAATCAGTTTCTATGATAGAGGTGCATTGGTAGGCAGGTGAGCAATAAGATCAATTTTCAGGGACATGGACCTCTCTCGGGCATATTAGACAAACAGAATGTTCATATTTGGAAGGTAACTTAATTCTGTTATTTGTGGACTTTGGAAAAAATGGGAAACATATGCTCTACTAATTAGTAGGAAGAATCATTACCCAAATGGCCTATAATGTCAGAAGACAGTCTTCTTTTCAAGTACAGAAAAATACACAGCCAAACTAAAGAAATGAAGATAGACCAATAAAATAAGAGAGTTTGTTAGCGTTGTTCTGAAGAGCACAGAGATTCCCAACAATGCTGTTATTGCAATGTTTAAAGCAGAGGCCTTCAAACTTGGCAGCTTTAAGACTTGTGGACTTCAACTCCCAGAATTCTCCAGCCAGCTGGCTGGAGAATTCTGGGAGTTGAAGTCCACAAGTCTTAAAGCTGCCAAGTTTGAAGACCTGTGCTTTAAAGGATAAGAACTACATCCAGGAACATCTACCGGGGTGATGTCCTACTGAAAATTCTTCCTTAGCTGTACAAATTCTGACAAAACCTTCCCTAACTGCCATACTCAGAGACCACAGGATTTCTGAACAAGGATATGAAACTTAGACCAGTCCATTTCAAACATCTTGAGAACAGTTGTTGGAACAGAAGAGAAAGCCACGAAGCTTTTCACTCCCACTGACCCTGCTGGCTGACTACTAATTTAATAGCCAACTAGAAAAGAGGCCAGGACTTTTTGTGTTGCAGTGATTTTAGTCATCGGTCTCTTTCAGCTATGGATATTCACTCTTATCTTTAGAGTATTTTGCTGTTCCTGCAGCTCTTATTTTTCATAGCAAATCAAGTCAGTTCAAAATGAAATAATCCATTAAATAATATTCAAAGGGATAAGGGAACATGAGGGATTTGACTTGGTGAGAATTATTGTAGAGGAAAAAAACCCTTCTATTAACTGATATAATTCATTTAGGAAAAAGTCAGTTCAAATTCAAAATTCAACTGATTTACAATGAACCTAATCTG